AACTTGGTCTATTCCTGAAAGCCAGTCTTTCATCCTGGCATCTGAGTCAATGAAAGAACCTTAAATCCTCCCTAGCGACTTTATAATCAAATTTCTGTCAATGAAATCCTGTGTGGGTATTTGCTGACTTAAAAGAAAAAATCTCTCAACTACAAATTGTCCTTTAGGTTCTGAGTTCTGCGTTCTTCTCTTTAGATACTCTGCCTACTTTTTTTTGATTCAGCAGAATTTTCTTTTTTCATGGATTTAAGAAAATAATTGGACAATATACAATTTCCAGAACCCCTTTGACTTGCATTTCACCTTCAGTTTTGCTCTTCTGAATATTCATTCCTTTTTCTCCCTTTACTGTGTGCTACTTTTCCTTTGAACTCCCCTTTTCATTTCCCAATACCCAATAAACATTGGAGATTGAGTGGTTGGTTGCTAATCTGCCCCATATTTCTGATGTATCTTTACTTTGTTTGTCTCCAGTCTTTTTTAAGTGTGTTGTTCATATTGTTCCTCATTCCAAACATAATTTTATGCCTTGTACCAAACACATTTTCTCTTGGTTTTTTCTCTTTTAAACTGTTACTCACCTTTTCTAGTTCCTCATTTATAAAATCTTTTCCCGAACAAAAGCAATAGACTTGATCACTGAATTTTTTTTTAGTATTTTATGAAAAGGAAAAAGTAATTACCTTCATTTCACAGGAAGTAAAGGAGTTGTAGAAATGTCTTTCCTTCAACTACACATAAATCTGTTAGAAAGGCAAACTGGATTAGAGACAACTGCCTCCCATTTAACACTAGCAAGTACCTGAACCAGTTTTTGTCACCTGGAACAGTTTTTCTCAAAAGGGGATCTGGGAACCATCTGCGTGAAAGTCACCCTTAGGCTTTTCTGCCCAAACCTACGGATTCACATATTCAGAAGACAGAACCCCCAAATATCCGTTTTTAAAACAACTCCCAAGGTAATTCTTCAAAACAGTAGTTTTTTAAAAAGTCACTCTTCTAGCTAAACCAGTGAAGGACCTAATCCTTTTTGTGTACATTTTCTGTTGTACTCTGTTTTTACACATATATGTTACTAGTATACTTAGTTCTATAAAAATCCATTGAGACAGGTTTCTTATATCCATTTTACAGCAGATAAAGTGAGGTTTGAGTTAGGAGACTGACCAGGGTCACTCAGCTAGTGTCTAGAAGCAGTAGTCTAGAAGAGTGCATTTTTCAAATTTGGATGAAATTGACATTTAACATTTTATTAATTTCAGATGTACAACATGGTGATTCAATATTTGTTATATTGCAAAGTGACAGTAAGTCTAGTTAAAACCATCACCACACATAGCTAAAAACATTTTTTCTTGTGATGAGAATTTTTAAGATCTGATTTCAGCAACTTTCAAATATACAATGCAGTATTATCAACTACATTTATAACTAAAATTTTATACCTTCTGACTTTCTTAACTCATTTTACCCATCCCAAGCCCTCACCGATAGTAGTCACCAGTCTGTTCTCTGTATCTGAGTTCAGTTTTTAATTTAGATTCCTCACATAAGCAAGATATTTTTCTTTACTTTCTATGTGTTTGATTTATTTCATTTAGCACAGTACCATCAAGGTCCATTTGTGTTGCTGCGAATGGCTGGATTTTCTTCTTTTTGATGACTGACTAATATTCCATTTATATATGTACCAGATTTTGTCTTTTCATTCATTCATTCATGGACACAAACTGCTTCCATGTCTTGACTATTGTAAATTATGCTACAGTGAACATGGGGGTAACAGATACCTTTTGGAGTTAGGGTTTTCATTTCTTCCAAATAATTACTCAGAAATAGATTTGCTGGGTCATTTGGCAGTCCAATTTTCAGTTTTTTGAGGAACCTCCATTCTGTTTTTCTGGTTATGCCTATACATTCCAACTAAGCGTGCACATGTGTTCCTCATCCCCTATATCCTCACCAACACTGTTATCTCTTGTGTTTTTGATAATAACAGCTCTAACAGGTGTGAGGCAGTATCTTTTTGTTGTTTTGATTGCATTTCCCTGATGATTAGTGATGTTGTGCATCATTGGCCATCTGTATTCCTTCTTTGGAAAATATCTTTTAATCAATGTTTGTTTTTCTTGTAGTTGCTTTGAGTTCCGTATATATTTTGGAATTACCTCCTTATCAAATATGTGATTTACAAATATTTTCTTCCACTCAGAAGGTTATCTTTTTGTTTTGTTCCTGTCTTCCTTTCATTTACAGAAGCTTTTTAGTTTACTGTAGTCCCACTTGTTTATTTTCGCTGTTGCTTTTGTTGTCACACCCAAAAACTCATTATCAAGACCAATGACAAGGAGCTTACTACCTATGTTTCTTTTTGGGAGTTTTATGGCTGCAGCTTTTGAATTGATTTTGTGTGTAACATAAGACAGCATTGGTTTTTGGTGTGTGACTGGCCAGTTTTTCCAGCATCATTCATTGGAGAAACTGTATCCATTACTCTTTGTTGTAAGCTTGGGTTTACTTCTGTGTTATTTATTCTGCTTTACTGATCTATGCCTTTTTTATACCAATATCATATGGTTTTGATTTTTATAGCTTTATAACATAGTTTGAGATCAGGACGTGTGATACCTCCAGCTTTGTTCATGTTTCTCATTCAGGCTCTTTTGTGATTCCATAAAAATTTTAGGACCCAAATGAATAACTATAAGAAAGTGAAAATCAAAATCAACAAAAACTATGAACCAGAGACACTTTTTGGGGGTGGGGGGGGGAGGGGAGGGATTGGGGTCAGAATGGGGGGATTGCAATTGTATGGGGAATATAAAAATAAAATTTATTAATTAAAAAAAAATAAATAAATAAAATGAGGCTGACTATGAAAAAAAAAATACACAAAAAGAGGTATTGAATGAAGTGAAAGTACACTAAACAATCTGGAAGAAGAGAGAATTTCAGAAATTGAAGATATAAATGCATAAGTGTATAAATAACTCAACTAGAAGAAAAGAGAAATAAGATTTAGGAAAAATGAAGAAACTGTGTGGAAATACCAGACTCCCTCAGAAGAGTAAATATAAGGATGATAGTTATTCCAGAAGGTGAAGTGAGAAAAAACGGAATAGAGAATTTATTCAAGGAAATAACATTCAACAAACCTTAAAAATATGACTGCATATTGGGGGTTCTGTGGAGGGTAGGTGAGTGGGGTGGAAAAAAGTAATAAGTAGAGTGTGGGTGCAGTGATCTATGGTAAAGGACTGTGGGACCTTCAAGGACTATGGGACCTTCGGTGGAAGGTTTGGTAACATAGATCTGAGGAGGTATGAACCTATTTCCCTATATCATATACAGTGTTTTAAACCAATGTTACTTCAATAAAATTAGTAGAAAAATAAAAAAAAAAAAAATTTTAGGACCCTATTTCTGTGAAGAATGCCGTGAAAATTTGATAGGGATAACACTGAGTTTATAGATCACTTTGGGTAGTATAGGTATTTAAGCAATTTTAGTTCTTCCAATCCATAAGCAGATAAGATCTTTATTCTTCAGTTTCTTTCATCAATTTCTTATAATGCTGGCTTTGTAAAAGGTGCTTGAAATATTGGAGATTATTTTAGAT